ACTCACTCACTCACTCACTCACTCACTCACTCACTCACTCACACACACACACACACACAAACGTAAGGCCTGAAATGCAAGTATGCACACACACACTTCACACTATGCAAGTTATGCATTCTGAACATGCAGTTATTAATGCAGAGCATGTTTGTGTTCTCATTAGTGACATTTCTCTTTCAGATCAACTGCTGTCATGGTGGAGCAACATCTGGAAGATAACTTTTCTGAGCATGTTAGTTAGTTAAACTGTTTGGATTTGATTGACATTTGAAGGAAATACTCATAGAAAATCTTTACAACAGGACTGCATGCAAATGACTAAGCTTTTGCATCAGCATTTGTGTATTAAAATAAGTAAATAAATAAAACTAAATTTGATTACAATAAATAATTAGAATTAGATTTAAATAAATAAATAGATTAAAATTACTGTAGTAAAAAGTACTACAGTGAGTAAAAAAAAAACTTAATAGAAACAAAATATTTTCTAAATAATGTTGTCAGTTGGCATAGTATATAGCATACCAAATTAAATTAGTATAAATTGGGTCTTTATTCATTAAATTATATGCAGTAGTTGCTTTTCACATTTGACATCAAATATGATTGTCTTTGACGTCTATTAGATTGAAAACCCTTGACCTGGATGTAGAAAAACCTGCTGTACAAAAGAGGAAGATGAACATATATGTTTATCTAAATATCATAAACGCTGTATAATGAGAATAACTCAATCTACAGCCAATCAAAACCAAACATTTTCTTTCTGAATCGTTTATATCTTTCAGTTTGTCTCCTGAAAGCAGCAAACTGAGCACAGCGTCGATGACATCATCAGCCGCGCTGCATCATGTGACGCAGCGGATTTCATTCAAGCGATCGTTAGTTTCCATTAGAGACATTAATGATGCTGAGATCAGCCGTTCGATCAGCTTTTTGGAATGTTGTGATTCATCGTCTGAGGAACAGTGTGTTAGAATGATTCTTTAAAAGAATCGCTTCAAAAGAGTCATTCTGAATCGGACCGCACTGCTTTAGCAGTATTATTTAGTGTTTCTTTCTCATTGTGTTGGTTTTATAATGCAGACCTGTGTAAAATAAGATTAGTTTTGGCTTGCGAATGCTTCAGTCTGTCTGTCGTCATGCAGTGTGCGTGA